CTCGACTTGTATTCAAGATAAATGGATATTTTTTTCATCCAAATAAAGACAAGTGAACAAGCTTTAAAATAATATCAATAACTCTACATGCTCCATAACAACAAGGCGTGTTCTGTTTTACACGATCACAACAACAACACGTGTTACCAACACGTCCTTATATCATAAAAGCAAAACTAAATTCAAAGTTTTCTACAAGTGCCTAAAAACCCATGATCTGCTCAGTGTGGTCATAGCTCTCAACGCCAACATCACCTTTACAGTAGTGGATACCGGGTCGCTGTTTAATCTAGGAAATGAGAATTGTGTTAAGACGCCTGTAGAATCAGGCGCTCGTCAGTTTGGGTCTGTTTAGTTACTAGTATCGCCTTAAAGCTTGTTAATTTTTTTAACTTTCGAATGAAAAATACCTATCAGCTGTCTTGAGTAGAAGTTGCGACATATGCGATTAAACGAGGTTGGGGGAAAAGGGGGGGGGATGTAAAATTAGTGAGAAAATGGACGCCACAGCTTGATGACGTCCAAGGCTTGAGTGTCCTTGGAAACTACAAATTTACATTTTTTAACTTTCATTTTTTAAAATCCAAAGATTATTTTCATTTTATATTTTAATTTTCATGGGGGGGGGGTTGCCTTAAATCAACATTTTTCAGTAAAATCCACACCGAAATGTGTTTTTAAAGGGATATTAAAAGTGTTGAACCCAAAAACAACAATTCGAAAAATTATTTCGAGACGAGCGGAAGGTGCCAGTTTCTTCGTTTTTAAAAACTATTTTGACAAGCGCTTCATTTCACCACGATGCCTCCCATGCATCACAGAGGGATGAATGCAGGCGTTCGTCAATTTTTGGACATGTGGAGTTGTTGGTACCATCTTAAAAGTGTTCATCTGACTTGCATTTGGTGAAAACATTACCAACTTCGGTGATGAATCTCGATTGAGTTTTTAAACAAAAACAACGTTAACTATACCGATATAAACTAATATCAGTGCGATTTTCAGGCAAAAAAAAAGGGTTTCTTTGTTTTAAGTAGAGGTTTTACGGAGCTCGCAATTGCATAAGGTCATATGAGCGCCAAGGGGTGGGTGTCAACAGAGAAGTCCTTACAGGAAATCAGACTTACTCTGCTCACCTCTCTAGCTTCAACAGTACAAGGTCTTCTTCGACTATCAAGGCACCCCGGAAATAGCGACCACAGATGTTTGATAGAAAAAAAGAGCAAACCACACCGGGGCAGCCG